ATATCACCCAAGATTTCCAGCCACTCTAATCCTAACACCACATCAGCACTGCCCAAATTAAAAAGTAGATAATCCTGTGTTATCCGCAATTTATCAATCCACAATTCCACTTCTTTGCATCTTCCCCTACTCTTTACTTGTTGGCCATTCCCCACTTCCACCACAAACGGCTTAGTTTCAGTTTGCTTTAACCTTAATGCTTCAGCTACTGCGCCAAATATAAAATTTGTTGATGCACTGCTATCAATCAACACAATAACTTTCTCCCCCCTATATTGTTCCCCATACCTTCAGGGACTTCTTTGTGGTAAATCCTGCTATAGAGTACAAAGACAACTCCATTAACTTTTGTGACTCTGGTTGTCCTTGATCATTTAATTGGTCCATCTCTGTGTTGATTATCTCCTCCAAAGACTCTTCAATGCCTCCATCTTCGTCGTCCTCTGTTGCTACAATAAGCAGATTTAATTGTTTTGAATTGCACCGGTGATTAGGGCCATATTTTTCATCGCAGCAAAAAACAAAGTCCTTTCCTTAATTTATCCTGATACTCTGCATCAGATATCCTCTTGTATGCTCCTCCTCGCCTTGCAGAAATTTCAAGTCTTGGTTGCACATTTTCTCCTCGCTTTTGTTCTTGAAAATGTCGTGGTATTGTTGTAACTGCTGTACGGGCAGAATGAAAACGTGTTATTACTCCACGTACTTGGGGACCGGTAACACTTCCTGTACAGCTATTGTCAATCACTAGAAAATGCACTGAGCCCCTAGAAAGCGACATACACATATGTTTTGGTAAGTGGGCTTGGCTGAGAGCCCAATTCTTCCCTTCAATATGTTGGCGCTTTGGTCCATAATTTGGGTTAGAGTTCCTAGCTTGCTAAGATGCAATTCTGCTTTGATCTCCTCTCTCAGGCCATTTATAAAAATTCCCATCATCATCGGCATCTTTCAAAGGTGCTGAAAGTAATTCGAAATCTTCTCTGTATTGGGCCACACTTCCAATTTGTTGCAACCCTATCAAAGCCTCATATAAGTTTCCTGACTGTGATGGAGTAAATCGTTGGAGTATGGCTACTCAAAACACATCCCATGTGACAATTGGAGTTCTCGACTCCCACCATTGGAACCAATTTAGGGCTCTACCTTCAAGGCAAATAGCAGCTGCCTCCAATTTATCCTTGTTGTCAATGCCATTAAAATGAAAATAACGTTCCGCTCTATTAAGCCACCCATATGGATTATCACTAGAAAATAAGGACAGTTCCAACCTTCTAGGACGCATGAATCACGAAATTGTGGTCGAACTTCTTCGCGAAATCCATCACCTTTGTGATTGTTGTTGTTCTCTGCCATCACATCTGTATCCATAATTAGATCTGTCTGAACTGTTGATTTTCCTTTCATATGTTGAAGAATTTCAACATCACATTCATCTTTGTTGTGCATCCAGTCTCGTAACTGCCCCAGGTAATCACATACTGAAACAATCTCCTCTTGTACTTCGGTCATTGTCTTCTCTAACCCTTCAATCCTCCCTTCTATTCTAGTTGAAACCATAAAGGCTCTGATACTAAATTTGTTAGGAACCCAAAAAATCTCCAACCTTATGTTTTACACTTCCAAGAACACAGGAAGATAACAATACCCTACACTGATATATATATTTCCACCAACTAACAGTGTTACCAAAGGTGCGCTTTAAGCGCGCTTAAGCCCTAAAGCGAGGCTTAAAACGTGTTGAGCGCTTTGCCTCGCTTTATGTGCGCTTCAGTGTCGTCATCAAAGTTCTAAGACAAACTTTTCCTTGTCAATGAGTCTCTTAGGAAGAAGTGACACTAAACAATTGATATTTAACTTTATCATTTTTTTTTTCAATTTCTTTGGTCATATATTTGTCATTCATGGTTATAATTATTAGTCTTGGACTAAACAAACACATTTTATGTTTTTCTCCCTTTGCGCCTTTTTTCATTAAAGCCCACGCTTTATTTGCGCTTTGTGCTTAAAGCCCCCACGGACCTTAGAGTTTTTTTGCGCTTTTCGCTTTTAATAATAGTGCCAACTAATAGAACAAATTTACAAATAGACAAACAAGATGTATGAATGATAATCCACCCAACAACCAAGGTATTTCGAGGTACCTTACCCTCCAGTTTAACTGCAGAACCAATAATATCCTCCAGAATAAACTGTTTGTCTTCCTTAATAACTATCTTGACTTCTATGTAACTACTAAGTAACTGCTAAAACTACATATACGTTGTAATAACTAAATAAAGCAGTAATAAAATACATATACATAGTAATAACTAAATAAAGCAGTAATAGTAATATTTAGGCCTTATTTTCACCCTTCTTCCTGCGTTTATAGACCTTAGTTACAGCAGGTCTAACAATTCTTAACAACCATAGCATATTGAAAAAACACATTAAAAAAAGGCTCACTAGTTACTTAAGGAACTTCTCCCTCTTCATTCCCCATTAATAGGCTGGGAAACTTAGTTATGTCACACTCTTCAAAGTTGTCTGCAAGATCTGCTCTTGGCACAACAGGATTGTGGGAAATTAGGAAATTAGAGGGCTTGTGTATGTGTCCTCTAAATTATATACCAACACTGCGTAGTTTTCAAATGGAAGAATAATTTACTGTTTAACTCGGAGTAAATACGTAAAACTTAATTCAGCAAAAGTAATAAGCTTAAAAGGACACAGGAAAAGAGCAAAGCCAATTTACCTGTTCAAATAACCCCTTTGGCAGGAACGTTAGGACATCATACTTTGTCGTTGAAACAGAATTTCCCTGAAAATAAAATTATTGCAACTAATCAAGATCAAAGCTAAAATATATGTATAACAAACTTGGCGAGGAACACAATTTATACACAGGGGACTATAAGCTACCATTTGACATTTTCCTTAATACATCACTTAACCTGCACCTTGTCAGCATGAGGCATGTTTTTATTGTGTCAGCGAAAGGCATGTTTATATTTTATTACACTTTACTAAACCATCCAAATAGATTGCCAGAAAAAGCAGCTGAATTTCCTTGTTTCTCTTTTTTGTTTTTTCCTTCTCCCTTAATCAGTTGACCAAACAACTAGCTTATATAACCAAATGTTTAAGAAAAGTTTGGAAACTAGGTGCCCAGAATCAGCTGTATCAGCTCCAAAGGAATAGAGGTTTAAGCAAATTAGATGAAAATCAGGAATATATTTCTTCTTTTTCGTATTCTTCGAGTGTAGAAATAAGCACACACCCAAAGCACATTTAAAATAATTAAAAAGCTTCAGCGAACACAGAAGTAACAGATATTCTTGCAAGGAAAGCAATGATTATTTTACTTCATTTCAATCAGGTAAATGTATAGCTACTAACCCTTAAAACTACACTGATAGCATAAACAACCTTTAGACTGTCAGTTTATTTAAACTAGATCCAAATAAAAAGGGTTTAACTTATAAACATTGACAACATAAATATATTTCTACATTATTGGGTGGTTCATTTAAAGTAACCCGAATTTTTGTACTTAAGGCCAGGAAGAAATTGGAACAAACATTCACTTCTCCTTCTAAATGATTACTCCCTCCGTTTTAATTGTTTGGTTTTGACTTGGCACATAGTTTAAGAGAGTAAAGAAGCCTTTTGAATTTTGCGATCTTAAACTAAAAGTTTGTAGAATGTACCAAAATACCCTTTAAGCTTGTGTCTTAAATATGTCATGTGGAAAGTTAGAACTAAAGAGTTGCCAAAAAGAGAAAGCGGGATTCTTTTTGCAACGGACTAAAAAAGAAAGTAAGACAAACAAATTGAAACCGAGGGAGTACTTTACTCTAAGCATCTCTTGCCAACTAAAACCTTAGATAAACTCAATAGTTCCAAGTCCTCAATCAATGTCATCAAATACCTAAACCCACATTCACCACTTCAACAACTTCATCCCCATACCGAGCATCTTTACCGTAGAGATAAATAAACTAAACTAAAATAGAGAATTGCTCATACAACAATCAGATGAATGTGCATTATCTTAATCAGACACTAACATTTTTCCCTTGAATTATATGAACATACAAACACAAAAGCTACTAGACTTCAATCTCAAGTTAGTTCATCATTATCCATTTTGCTCCATTTGAAGTCATAAAGACCACATTTTTAAATATAAACATTAATACTACCCCATACTCGCCAACTTAAAATCTTAAAATAACCAAATCCACTCTGTGGAAATAACAGATACAACAATCAGATAAAATGTACAGTATTTTAATCAGACACTCAATGTTTTTCCCTTCAATCATAAGAACATACAAGAATAACAGCTACTATGTCTCAATCTCAAGTTAGCTGGAGTTAATCTATATGAATCCTCACCATCCATTTGCTTCATTTGAACCCATAAAAGACGATATATAAACACAAACACCAGTTTTTGCTTAGAACCTATATTTGCTTAAAAATGCATTAAGTATGTATAGATTTTCAATTGTAAACTCAGTAACTTATAGGAGCTATGGATTTGGTCATAGTACAGAACCGATAAAATTCAAATCCTAGCTCCACCTAGATAAACACACTCTCTCACATACACTCTCACACACACTAAGTAGCGTCTTTATCCATTCAGTACTACTGATTATCCACTAACAGAAATTCATCCTCAGTCATTTCAACAATAAGTAAAAAAGCTTAGAAACAAAATTACCTTGAATTTAGCAAGGGCATTAGCATCACGATCATTCAGAAAAACAGTTCGATGACCTGGTGCTTGAGGCTGTACTTGACCAAGACGAATACTTCGAGAAGATGAAATACGATTAAGTATCGGCGTTCTACTTGTACTAGCTGCCGATCCAGATCCTCTCCATCCTCCACCCATTCTTCAACTCCTACTCGATCTCGCCGGACCGGAGAAAATACTCGCCGGCGATAAACTCTTACTTCGTATTTTTTTTCAAGTGATATTTTGTTGGATTTATCTCTTTAGTTGAATGGAGTTGAAGAAGAAAGACTTAATTGGAACTTCTTCTTCATCGTTCTTTCCTTTGTTTGCGCTACGAGATATTTTCCTTAAGAAGCGCGTGAAGAAAAAAAATATTCTATTCTGATTAGCGCGTGTATATGCACGCACTTAATAATAGAGTAAACGTCGCCGTTTTCGAAGTTTAATACTTCGCCTTTATCGTCGGCGTAATTGCAACTGTTAGTCAGTTGAACCTTTCAAAGTTTCAGGTTGTGGACGTGTGACGTGGTGTTTGTTTTTTTTTTTGGTTTATTTAAAAAAAAAAAGGGAAAAATGAAAAATATATTTTTGAACTATCGTAAATGATATTCAGATGTCCTCCATCATATTTTTGGGATATTGATACCCCTGCCGTTCAAAAACTAGAGCATATATGTTCTTCACTCTAATGGAAGACTAAATAGGAACACGTGGCGCAATCTTATCCGTTGATCTGATACTTATTAAATGTCGGATAGACAGATAAGATTATGACATGTATATGTCTGTTAGTATAAAGGGTATATATGCTCTAGTTTTTGGATGGCAAGAACACCAATGTCCCAAAAGTATGACGGAAAGTATCTGCATTTCATTTACGATAGTTTGAGGTATACTTGTCTATTTTCCAAAAAAGAAAAAAAAAAGTGAAGTACGACCCAATGAAATTTGTATTCTCCTTTATCTTAAAATTTTATATTATTAAAAGTTGAGGGATAATATCATAAAATGTTAAGTATGGCACATTTAAATTTGTATTCGTCTTTATCCTTTAAAAAAATTGTATAGTTAGACTAAAGATTCATTTCATCATTCTGAGTTTCCTTGTGGTTTACGAAATTATGTTTTTTTTTTTGTTTTTTTTTTTCGTAACTGTTTCTTAAAATATTTATTACTGGTGTAAATAAATGTAATTTGTTATAAATCCAATGTATTATATATGTGGATTGTCCATTAGATTTATCCTAACAAATTGGATTCATGTATAGGTGCTTCCGATGTGATAAGAACTTCTAAGATAACTATGTATCTACTAATTAGATAACTTTTGGGAGTGATATCTCAACACTATAAATAGAGATATCACTCACCATTTGGATGACACACTTGAATAAGAAAAGTTCTCCCTTCTGTATACTTCTTGTCTTCTTCTTATTATTATATTATATAGCTTTCTTTTATAATACGTTATCAGCACGAAGTTGCTACTTCCAAAGGTATTATATAAATGTTCTTATTTAATTCACCTATTCTCTCATAATCTCATTATGTCGAATTTATCCAAACTTGAGTTTGTGGCACTAGATATCTCTGGAAAAAATTACCTTCCATAGGTACTCGATGTTGAGATTCATTTAGCTGCTAAAGGTCTTGATGCCACCATTACTCAGGGAAATGAAGCAGCAAGTCAAGATAAGGCGAAGGCTATGATTTTCCTTCGTCATTATCTTGATGAGGGCCTAAAGATTGAATATCTGACGGTAAAAGATCCACTTGAATTGTGGACTGATTTGAAGGGGAGGTATGACCACCTAAAGGCAACAGTATTGCCAAGAACTCGTTATGAGTGGATGCACTTACGGTTTCAAGATTTTAAGACCGTAATTGAATACAACTCTGTTGTATACTAAATAACCTCCCAATTGAAATTATGTGGGGGGACTATAAAATATGAGGGTTGGAAAAGACACTTACTACTTTCCATGCCTCAAATGTGATATTGCAGCAACAATATCGTGAAAAGGGTTTTCAGAAATACTCTGAACTGGTCTCATGCCTTCTGGTGTCTGAGCAACATAATGCCCTTTTAATGAAAAATCATGAAGCTCGTCCCACGGCAGCTGCTCCGTTACCAGAAGCAAATGTGGTAGAAACACGTGATCAATCTGAAGTAAAAATAGATGATCATCGAGGCTATAATAATGCACGGGGACGTGGCCAAGATAAGAGGCGATACAACAATCGTCGAGGTGGTGGTCATAATAAAAGGGAGAACAACATGAGTTCTCAAAATAACCCCCCAAAAAGTAATTGACATCGTCGTGGCATGAAAGGCCATTGGAAGAATGAATGTCGCACACCTGAGCATTTTGTTAGGCTCTACCAAAATTCCATTAAAAGAAAAGGAAATAAAGGTGGTGCCTCATCTTCCAATGCTCGGGCTGAGTCACATTTGACTCTTAAAGATAATGATAAGCCGGGAACATCTCAGAAATATGATAAGGATGTTGAAGCAAATTTGGCTTTAAAGGATGATGATTTTGATGGCCTTGGTGATATTACTCATAAGGAAGTTGATGACTTCTTTGGAGATCGAAACTAAAGTTTTATTTTTTGGCTGGGGAATGTAGTTTGTTGCTATTTTACTTATGTGTTTTTAATTATCATGTTCTTCTTTATGTTGAAGTATTTAAATTTTCGTTATTAGTTTTGTTTCGTACTTTTTTTGATGTATTTTTATTTTAATGAAAATTAATAGAAATCCCAGTTGTTGATTGGATTCAAGATGAGTAATGGAGATGTGTGCCTTCTTAATAGTGCTACAACACATACTATATTAAAAGAAAAGACATACTTTTTTTCTAATTTGGTCATGAAAATGGCATGTCAACACAATATCAGGTAGTACAAAATTAATTGAGGGCTCTGGAAGAGCGACCTTATTACTACCTGGAGGGATAATATTGACCATTGATAATGCATTATATTGTAGTAAGTCTCAAAGAAACTTATTAAGTTTCAAAGTTATTCGCCAAAATGGCTATCATGTTGAGACGGCTAATGAAGGAAAGGTTGAGTACCTTTACATTACTACAATTAATGTAAAGAAGAAAATTGTGCATGAAAAATTACCTGCACTTTCTTCTGGGTTATACTATACAAGTATAAGTACAGTTGAATCACATGCCGTAGTAAACAAAAGGTTTGCTAATTTTAATGATTTTATCATTTGGCATGACCGGTTGGGCCATCCCGGATTTAATATAATGCGCAAAATAATTGAGAATTCACATGGGCACACCTTAAAGAGATCAAATATCCTTCAGTCAAAGGAATTCTCTTGTGTTGCCTGTTCGCAAGGAAAGTTGATCATTAAACCATCAACAGTTAAGGTTGGAATTGAATCCCCTGCGTTTCTGGAACGTATACATGGTGATATATGTGGACCAATTCAACCTGCATGTGGACCCTTTAAATATTATATGGTCTTGATAGATGCCTCTACAAAATGGTCACATGTGTGCTTATTATCAACTCGCAACATGGCTTTTGCGAGATTGTTGGCACAAATAATAAGATTAAAAGCACAATTTCCAAACTATACAATAAAGACAATCCGTCTAGATAATGCTGGTAAGTTTACATCTTAGCCATTCAATGATTATTGTATGTCTACTGGTATAATAGTTGAACATCCAGTTGTGCATGTTCATACTCAGAACGGTCTAGAAGAATCATTGATTAAACATCTGCAATTGATAGCTAGGCCATTGCTAATGAGAACAAAGTTGTCCGTGTCTATGTGGGGGCATGATATTCTGCATGCAGCAGCACTTGTGCGCATAAGGCCGACTAATTATTATGAATTCTCCCCATTACAATTGGCTTTTGGTCAAGAGCCAAACATTTCCCATCTTAGAATTTTTGGATGTGCGGTATATGTTCCAATTGCTCCACTACAACGCACAAAGATGGGCCCCAAAGAAGATTGGGGATATATGTTGGGTATGAATCTCCTTCAATCATAAAATATTTGGAGCCTATGACTGGAGATTTATTTAAGGCAAGATTTGCTTATTGTCATTTTGATTAATCAGTATGCCTAACATTAGGGGGAGAACATAAGCAGTTGGGAAAAAAGATAGATTGAAATGTATCATCACTATCTCATCTGGATCCTCGAACAAATCAATGTGAGCAAGAAGTTCAAAAAATAATTTATTTACAGAAAATTGCAAATCAACTGCCAAATGCTTTTACTAATCTTCCAAGGATTACTAAATCACATATTCCAGCTGCTAATGCTTCAGTTCGAGTTGATTTTCCGACGGGATAAATTGTTAAGGCAAATGAGTCTAGACCACATTTAAAGTGTGGTAGACCAATTGGTTCCAAGGATAAAAATACTCAAAAGAGAAAAGGAATAAATGATCAAGATGATCATAGGTTGAAAGAAATTTCTCAAGATGAGACCCAAGTCATAACACATGATGAAACCTCCGAGGAGGTTCAAACTTCTGAAAATAATGAAATTTCAATGAATTATGTCTCGACGAGAAAGAGGTGGAACCGAAATAATGTTGTGATTGACAACATATGTGCTTATAATGTTGCTATTGAAATGATGCAACAAGATGAAAATTTTGAGCCAAAATTTGTTGACGAATGTACACAGAGAAATGATTGGCCAAAATGTAAGGACGCAATTCAAGCAGAATTGGCTTCACTAAAAAAACGTGAAGTTTTCAGACCAATAATCTGAACACCTGAAGGTATCAAGCCAGTGGAGTACAAATGGGTTTTTGTGCGAAAAAGAAATGACAAAGGTGAAGTCGTAAGATATAAAGCCCAACTTGTTGCTCAAGGTTTTTCTCAAAGACCTGGCATTGATTACATGGAGACATATTCTCCTGTGGTAGATTCAATCACCTTCAGATATCTCATAAATCTGGCAGTTCATGAAAAGCTTGAAATGTGCCTAATGGACGTTGTCACAGCCTATCTATATGGCTCATTGGACCATGACATTTTTATGAAAATTCCTGAAGCATACAAAGATTCAAGAGAGACTTGTTCAATAAAGCTTCAAAAATCTCTATATGGATTGAAACAGTCAGGGAGGATGTGGTACAATCGTCTAAGTGAATATTTGCTAAAGAAATGGTACAAAAATGACCTGATTTGTCCCTGCATTTTCATTAAATGGTCGGAGTCTGAATTTGTTATAATAGCTGTGTATGTTGATGATTTGAACATCATTGGGACTCGTAAAGAGCTACTAGAAGCCGTGGAGTGTCTGAAAAGGGAATTTGAAATGAAAGATCTCGGCAAGACAAAATTTTGTCTTGGCCCACAGATTGAGAATTTGCCAAATGGAATACTTGTCCATCAATCAACATACACAGAAAAGATATTAAAGCATTTTTACATGGATAAATCACATCCATTAAGTACCCCAATGGTGGTAAGATCGCTTGACATCAAAACAGATCCATTTCGACCTTAAGAAAAGGATGAAGAACTTCTTGGTGATAAAACTCCATATCTTAGTGCAGTCGGGGAACTAATGTACCTTGCTAATAATACTCGACCAGATATTTATTTTGCAGTGAGTTTACTGGCAAGATTCAGTTCCTCCCCAACAAAAAGACATTGGAATGGTGTTAATCACATACTTAGATATCTTTGGGGGACCATGGACATGGGTTTATTCTATTCCGATGAATCCAAGTCAGAACTGATTGGTTACGCAGATGCTGGATATTTATCTGATCCGCATAAAGCTCGGTCTCAAACAGGCTATTTGTTTACGTGTGGAGACATAGCAATATCTTGGCGAACAATGAAGCAAACGTTGGTAGCCACTTCTTCGAATCATGCAGAAATAACAGCCATCCATGAAGCAAGTCGAGAGTGCGTCTGGTTGAGATCAATGACCCACCATATTCAGGAAATATGTGGCTTTTCTTTGAAAAAGAATATACTAACCACAATGTACGAAGATAATGCTGCATATATAACTCAATTGAAAAAAGGATACATCAAAGGAGACCGGACAAAGCATATTTCACCAAAGTTTTTTCCACACATGATCTTCAACAAAATGATGAGATAGAAGTTCAACAAATTCGTTCAAGTGATAATCTTGTTGATTTATTCACTAAGGCATTGCCAACATCAACGTTTGAGAAGTTGAGATACAAGATTGGAATGCGTCGCCTCCGAGATATCAAGTGAAGCTTTCATCAGGGGGAAAGAAATACACGTTGTACTATTTTCCTTAACTATGGTTTTGTCCCAAGTTGGGTTTTCTTAGTAAGGTTTTTAATGAGGTAACATTCAAAGAGTATTATGAGATGTGTGTACTCTTTTTCCTTCACTAGGCTTTTTCCCACTAGGTTTTTCCTAATAAGGTTTTAACGAGCCACATTATCTATGGACATCCAAGGGGGAGTGTTATAAATCCTTTGTATTATATATGTGGATTATCCATTAGATTTATCCAAACAAATTGGATTCATGTATAGGTGCTTCCGATGTGATAAGAACTTCTAAGATAACTATGTATCTACTAATTAGATAACTTTTGGGAGTGATATCTCAACACTATAAATAGAGATATCACTCACCATTTGGATGACACACTTGAATAAGAAAAGTTCTCCCTTCTCTATACTTCTTGTCTTCTTCTTCTTATTATTATATAATATCATTCTGAGCTTTCTTTTATAATATTATATATTTGGCCCTTCTTAATATCAATTACTTTTCAATTAATAAATTCAAATTAGTTTTAAGAAGATACTTTAATTTTGAGGGGTCCTATTACTCTCATACCAATTTAGGGGTGTTCACATACATGTCGAATTTGGGTCGGTTATTGGTTAAAAATCAAAATCAAACCAATTTAATCGGTTTTAAAATTATCAAAATCAAATCAAATCAAATATAATGTGCATTTATCGGTTTCGATTCGATTTGGTTTGGTTATTCGATTATTAACCATACACACATAAAAAAATTTCATTCAAAACGTGAAAAAGTGACAATAGTCCATTAAAAATGAAAAATAGTTTGAATGACTGACATTACAGAACTTTCGATCACTGAATTTAATATGAATAAAGTTTCAAAATTCACTATTTTGGCCTAGAAGGAAGAGACAAAGACATTTTCAGTCCCACAAAGAATCGTCATAGACATTCATATACATGAAACCAATAAGATAAATGTTCTCACCTTGAGCATTTTTCTTTCATAAGTAAATTATAAATAAATTTTGATGATAACATATATAAGATCTTTAATTTTTTTAATAAAATAATATATTATGTATGTATAATAATAAAATATATTTATATAATTTATCGGTTCGGTACGGTTATTTCTTCAATTTGTTTCTAACAAAATCATATTCAAACCAAATACTATCGATATTTTTAAAAATCTAAAACCAAACCAAATAAAAATTGATTTATTATCAGTTTAGATCGATTTTTTTCCAAACCATGACACCCCTACATACCATTGTTCAAAGTACATCTTTGATACTCTTATGTGAAATAATCCACTTTAAAATAAGTAAAGGGTGACACGCACCCACATGTGTAAAAATAATTATAAAAAATATAATTTTACATAATACCCTACCCCAAACACCTCCATCCCTAGTACTTAACATGTTCCACTTTCACACTTGGTGTCACGATCCAAAAATAGATGTGATGAGTGCCATCTTATCCCATCGAGACAAGTCAGTCTAAAATTAAAATATCACGATAAAATGCCGAAGTAAAATAAAAAATGAAAGTTTAACAACAAATTAAATGCAGATAACAAATCAAATTAACTAAATCCCCAAAACTTAGTTGTCATGTGCAAAAACCTCTAATGTATTACAATAAATTTGAAAGAAAACACAAGTGTCAAATGATGTTATCTCTAATGTAGAACAATATCATAAATAGAAGTAAGAAGGTCCACTGAGATGACAAATAACTACCTCAAAAATCTCCATAGAAAGCCTCGGACAAGAAGAGAGTAGAGAATATCACGAAGATCTAGCTCGTAACCTACATAAATGTAGAAGCAATGAGTAAGTATCGAACCACATGGTACTTAGTAATTTAACTCATAAACATAAATCAGGTAATATAGAATATGAGTACTCCTACCACTCCAACCTGCATAAAATCAGCTCAATCTAACAGTTCACAATTTAAATAGCAGATAGCTCAATAACAATACTTCAACTATTATAGATCAACAATACACATGATCAAGTTCCATAGAAAGGCACTCACAAGTTCACAAATGATATAGATATGCAATGCAATGAAATACAACACTAAGTATAGTGATGCATGTCTGACTTAGAGATACACACCAACTACTCTCAGCCTGGGATCCATGGGGGGAGGGGGGATTAACAGTCCATGCATCCGTCACGGCGTGTGACACGATCCTTGAATTACTTATCCTTCATGGCACACGACACGACCCTCTAATCAATATATATTCATTCTGGTGCACGATACGTCCCTCGAAATGGTACATCCTCTTTAATTTTTTATTCTTCCTTAATTTACATAATACTAGTCACAATTGTGTCTCTGAACCAACAAAAATAGATATGTTCACACAATTAGTGAGGATATGACCATTCCATAACAATGCACAATTCACAACAACATTTTCACGCATCGAGCCTACACCTTGTATACGTGGCTGACACTCGAGAACCATTGTTAATCTCCAAGCGAACACTTGGCCTAGCTGACTACTTAGAGAAAGACTAACTCAAGAAAATTTAAGCTTTAAAACAGAGTTTAAATTCAAATGTCTCAAATAATAAATTTACTAGTAAGAAGTAAATTCTATATATTGTGATGCCATATTTATATTTTCTTTTAAAATTTATTTCAAAATATATTGAAAGGTATAAAACAACACATTTTAATGGAATATTAAATATGAAAACTCATTGAAATGATCATTTTTCTAGATAAAAAATAAAATAAAAAGAGATCCAACAAAATTTAGAATAGATTTTAAATCGTAATTAATTAAGCTCACTAATCCTCCATCTTTTAGTGAATAGCCCCTTAATCTTCTTGATGAAAACATTTACTTTTTTTTTAATCTATTTTGTGTTCTCTACATATAAAGTATCGTATTTTATCTATTAAAATTATTTATTCTTGCGATATATGATGATGATGGTTTTTGTAGTTCCAAATAAAAATCTTGCGTTCTTAACCTATTAAATGTCGTTGTGTTGAATCAAAATCAGGAGGAGTAAATATTACTTCCTCTGTCCCAATTTATGTGACTTACTTTCCTTTTTAGTCAATTCCAAAAAGAATGACACATTTCTATATTAAGTAACAATTTAACTATAAAATGTCTATTTAACCCTTAATGAAATGATTTACAGCCACACAAATTTCTATCATTCATTTTGGACCACAAGTTTTAAAAGTCTTCCCTTCTTTCTTAAACTCCGTGCCGAGTCAAACTACCTCACATAAAATGGGACGGAGAAGTAATAGAAATTCACTACTAAGAAGTAAATTCTATTTATTCTGATGTCATTAATATTTTATTTCAAACACATATTGAAAGCTTAAAAAAAACATCACAATGGAATATTAAATGTGATCTCTCACTATTATTATAGAAATTATCATTATTATAGATAAAAGATTATCGATAAAATTTAGAATATATTGTAAGATATAATTAATATTGTGTCAACTCGATTTTCAATATATCATATTGAATCTCTGACTAATTCGGATTCCAAGGGACACTCTTTCACAAAAAAAATTTCATACCTAAGGCTCAAACCCGAGACCTCTGATTAAGGATGGATGGATCATCTACATCTCACCACAACTATTGTTGGTACTAATAATAACTTAATTTAATTTCTCTTGAATATTTGGCTATATGATGGATTTATTGTTCTGTTCTGCCAACAAGAATTATGGTGGAGTATAAGTTAGTATTCATTCATCCTTAACTAGAAGTGTCAGGCTCGAGTCTTGGGCATGAATTACCTTTGTTGGAAAGAAATTTACCATCAATTTGTGACTTTCCATTATCCGAATTTAATTGATTCCCAACAAAAATACCGGATATCAAGTAAATTAAGATATTTTTTATTTTATACTTGTGAAAATTAGATATTTTGCAAAAAAAATTTGAGGGTGATCTCAAAGATTATGAAATTAGGCTCATCAATCCTCCATCTTTCATTGAATAACCCCTCAATCTCCTTAATGGAAATATTTACTTTTATATGTTCTATGTTCTCTACATATAAAGTATCTTCTTGTATGTTATTTCCTTTTTTATGTCCTAACAATTTAGATTCATTTACTGTTGATAATGATAATATTTTGGAAGGAAATGATTGTATGTAATTTAGATTAATCTTTTTATTAGTTTTTCTTGCGGTATATGATGAGATTTTTTTATGGCTCCAAATAAATTCTTGTGTTTTAACCTATTAAATGTCATGATATCGAATCAAAAATCAGGAGGAGTAAATAGTAACAAAAAAAATACTACTAAGAAATAAATTCTATTTATTTTGATGTCATATTTGTATTTTCTTTTAAACACATATTGAAAGTACAAAAATACCATATCTCAATGGAATATTAAATGTGATAACTCATTATTATAGAAATTATCATTCTTCTTGATAAAAGAGTTCTAATGTAATTCATAATAAGTGTAAATTGTAATTAATATTTTGTTCACTCGATTTTCAATATATCATATTGAATCTCCGACTAACTCGAATTCTGAGGGACACTCTCTAACAATATTTCCTTCATATCTAAGGCTCGAACCCGAGACCACTTATTCAGGATGGATGGTTCATATACATTCCACCACAACTATTGTTGGTACTAATAATTACTTAATTTACTTTATATTTAATATTTGACAATATGCTTGATATTTTTATTGTATTCAGCCAACAAGGATTGTAGTGTAGTAGAAGGTAGTGTTCCTTCATCCTTAACTAGAAGTGTTAGGTTCGAGTCTTGGGCATAAGTTACCTTTGTTAGAAAGAAGCTTACCCCTCAATTTGGAACTTTCCATTATCCGAACCTAATTGAGTTTCAATAAGAATATCAGACACACAAAAAAAAGTACTTTTCTTCTTTACTTAAGCAAAAAGTACTTTTCTTCTTTACTTATGAATATTAGACATTTTGCAAAAAGAATCTGAGGGTGAGATTAAATAGGCTCATCATTCCTCTATCTTTTAGTGAATGGCCCCTCAATCTTCTTAATGAAAACATTAAGTTTTTATCCTTTTCGTGTTCTCTATATATAAAGTATCATTTTTATCTTTATTTTTTAATGTGTTATTAATTTAGATTGAAGAAAATGATTATTGGTCAAATATATTAATTTTGTGATTAGTTTTTCTTATGGTATTAGATGATGATTTTCATAACTCCAAATAAAAATCATGTGTTCTTAAGTAATTAAATGGAACGTAATTGAATCAAAATCAGGAGGAGTAAATATTAATAGAAATTCACTAATAAGAAGTAAATTCTATTTATTTTGATGTCATAATTATATGTGCTTTAAAAATTTATTTTAAAGACATTGAAAGGTAATAGATAAAATATGTCAATAAAATATTAAACGTGACAACTCATTATTATAGAAATGACGATTCTTCTAGATAAAAGAGTTCCAATGAAATTTATAACAAATTTCAAATTGAAATTAATATTATTTTCACTTAATTTTCAATATATCATAATGTATCCTTATTAATTCATATTTTGAGGGACGCTCTTCCACAAAATTTTCTTCATATCCAAGGCTCAAACCTGAGTCCTCTGATTAAGGATTGATGGGTCATATACATCTCACCACAACTATTATTGGTACCAATAATAACTTAATTTATTTTCTCTTGAATATTTGGCTATATGTTGGATTTATTTGTTGTGTTCTACCCACAAGGATTGTGGTGTAGTATAACTTAGTATTCCTTTATCCTTAACCATAAGTGTCAGATTCAAGTCTTGGGGCTTTCCATTATCCAGAGCTAATTGAGTCTCAATAAGAATACCAGACAACAAGTAAATTAAAATATGCTTTCTTCTTATACTTATAAAACTTAGATATTTTGTAAAAAGAATTTGAGGGTGATCTCAAAGTTTTTGATATTAGGCTCATGAATCCTCCATATTTTAGTGAATAACCCCTCAATCTCCTTAATGAAAACTTTTACTTATTATCCGTTTTGTGTTCTCTACATATAAAGTATCCTTCTGTATGTTATTTTCTCTTCTTTTTTTTATGTCCAATTCATTAAGATTCATTTATTGTTACTAATGATAAATTTTTTTTGAAGGAAATGATTGTATGAAATTTGGATGAATTATATTACTAGATTTCCTTGTAGTATAGGATGATGATTTTTATAGCTCCAAATAAAATCTTGTGTTCTTAACCTATAAATGGCATGGTATTGAATCAAAATGGAGGAGTAAATAGTAACACAAAGTCATTACTAAGAAGTAAATTCTATTTATTCTGATGGCATTATATTTTCTTACAAACACATATTGAAAGTTAAAAAATTACACATCTCAACAGAATATTAAACGTAATATCTCATTAATATAAAAATTATCATTCTTCTTGATAAAAGAGTTCCAATAATATTGTGTTCACTTGGTTTTCAATATATCATTTTGAATCTCCGACTAATTCGAATTTCGAGGAACACTCTCTAACAATATTTTTTCATATTCAAGGCTCAAACTCAAGACATCTGGTTAATGATTCATGAATCATATAAATCCCGCCACAACTATTATTGGTACTAATAATAACTTAATTCACTCTCTCTTGCATATTTTGCAATATGTTGGAATAAGTTGTTGAGTTCTACCAATAATATTGTGGTGAAGTGGAAGTTAATATTCCTTCATCCTTAACTAGAAGTGTCAAGTTCAAGTCTTGGGCATGAGTTACCTTTGTTAGAAAGAGGTTTACCCTCAATTTGAAACTTTTCATTATCTGA